TTCCCTCAGCGTGCTGCTGCACTGGAAGAAGGTGTCGGCCACGCAGCTGGACATGGCAGTCGAGCTCAAGACCAGCAGCGGCGCCAGCAACGGGTGGTTCGCGCTCGGCTGGGCCAACGGGGGCTCCATGGCTCCCTCCGACGCAGTCATAGGCAACAGGGCGGGCGGCCTTGTCAGCCCGTACCGCATCACAGGCTACACTATGAGCTCGTTACAGGGCGCCTCGTTTAGCATTGGCAGCAGCGCGGGGACTGTGACGTCCGCCACCGGCTCCACAGTGATCCAGTAAGTATAATCAGCGAGCTTCCGTGCCTCCCTCCCACATATCTTCAGCATATGACATATTTCACCTCTATATTCATGCCATCCTGTACATCCAGCCATCACGTTTATTCGTCGTACCCAGACTAACGAAATGCCTTATCCCCCCTTTGCTTGGTGGCCAATCAGGTTCTCGCGCACAACTGGCACGGGGTCCATTCCCATCAAGATGAGTGGCGTCAGCCGTCTCATCTGGGCTCACTCCAACTCCAACTCCAAGACCCTTGCTTTCCACGGCGGTGCTGAGTGAGTGTCCCAAACGCTGGCTCTCCAATACCCTTACTTTTACGTCAAGACCCCTCTGTGCATCCCGACTTCAACTCTTCAAACCCTTCTTACTGCAGTTACCGACGCCCTCTCTCTCTTCGTGAATGCTCTCCAGCGTCCTCTTCCATCCAGTAGCTTCCTCCCCTGTCTGAAGCGCACCCGCCTCCCTCACCCCCCACTCACTCCTCCACAGCTGCCGAATGTCAGTGGGCTTGGTGTCCCAGTGTCTCTCCATCATCTCACCACCCTTACTTTCTCTCCCCCTCTCCCCTCCCCCTGTCCCTCGCCCCCTTGTTCCATCACAGTGGTAGCATGTCAGTGGACTTTTCCTGCGCCACTGCCCCGTCGTCCGGCGGCGGCGGGGGCGATGATAATGGCGAGGGGGGTGATGACTGGGGGGAGGGTGGTGGTTCAGGTAGCGGTGGGGCTTTCCTCTCGCAGCTCATCGCTTGGCTTGGCTCGCTCTTCGGCTTCCGCAAGTAGAGGGCATACGCTGCACAGCACAGTGCAGCACACACCACACAATGCTCACTGGGAGTTGTGCATGGTGGATATGAGTTGGTGGTGGTGGCGATTATCAGGAGGGTTGAGAAGGGGAGGTGTGAGTCTAGTAGTGTAGACGTAAGTAGCAGGCTGGACCACAGGCATCTTTTGGAGTTGTGTGTGCGAGAGGCTCCACTGCACAGCACAGCCTAAAAGATGGTTGTGATGCCTTGCCCTGTATGCCATAGATGAGTTGCACTGTTTGCTGGTTTCCAACCGTGATGTATAAGTTTTATTTGTAAAAGGGCCGTTAAAATGTAGAAGGATGGCAAGATGAAGGGCTCATATGCAATCATAGGGAAGATGCCAGTTGATGCACATGTAAAAACCAAAGTTACAGACCATGTAGGTAGTCATTGGTTGCAGCCGTGCCCCATTTGCAGTCACGGTGTAGTACTACTGTCAGGTGAGTTCACAGGTCTGTTCTCAATAATACGGTAGCAGGTTATGCCATGTCCACCCAAAAGAAAGGAAACATACATTTGGAAGTGGAATACGACATAAATTGATTTTGACATGGATGAATGGGTTGCTGTTTTCTATGCGATGCCTGTACGGAGGAATTCTTTCAAGCTTCATGCGCAAGGTTGTTTGGCAAATTGGCACGCTCATGTTGATGTTCGTGGTCCATAGACCCTGGGAAAACAGGCTCGGCAATAGAAGACAACCGCCGAACTTCCATACACGAGCCAGAGTGCCAGCGCGGCAAAGGAGCAGCATGGCAATTACGGTAAGGCACATGCTGGTTCTGTTCCCCACCTGTTCAACGAGATAAAAAAAGTCGTTTTCATTCGACGACGAAATCCAAGATGGAATAACCGGGTTTCGTCAACACCCTGGTCACAAGACCAGACCAGCCAATGTAATGGCTTGACGAACGCAAACCACGCGCATTCCACAACCGAGCCGCACCTGTCGGTGACAAGCCCAAAACGTGAGCCAATAGAAAGTGGACAGGTGGTTTGTGTTCCCCCCTCTCAAGACAACCTGTCCACTTCGCCGAACCTCGATCTTCAAACCAGCCAGCTTTCCCAAGCAAACACCAAGAGGCAAAAAATCGCGCGTCGCCGGGACGCGCAAGCAAGCAACCAAGCATTGCAATTTCTGGTGGCGACGGCGATTTTGAATTGCTGCGTTGTTCCTCACAATTGGGGCGCTGCTTTCTCAGCCATTACATTTCCAGCCATTATATTTCCCAAGTTCCCGACCCAACCCAACCCAATCATCCACTCAACCCCCTGGCCCTTCCTCGCCATCATCTCCGCCTCCCTCATATCCAGCCGTCCCTGCTGCTCACCCTCCTCCTCTCCCACCCGTGAATCTCTCACTCCTACATAAACCAGAACAAACCAGATCCTCCACGAGATTTACGACTCTCCCTGGGAGGCAGGCCAGTGTCACTCCGAGTGCCCAGACTTCCCAAAACTTCTGACTCGGAGTCACAGCTTTCGCTCCACCTCCCTCCCCACGTCCGTCGCCCATTCAAGCCGAGCTAGTAGCTCATCCCACCCCGTCTCACCGCACTCCAACCCACCCCACCGCTCATCCCACCCCGCCTCAGTCCCGCATTTTCCCCTCGCCATGGCCGTCAAGGCGCGCGAGCCGCGCGGCACGAGGCTCATGCGCCTCTGCGTCGCGGTCCTCTTTATCGCCACGGTGCTCGACGGCGGCGCGGCGGGCGCCGCCAGCGGCGGCGCACCGTCGCCGTTCCCGCAGAAGTCCCAAGGCCTCCTCAACCGTCACAACGCGTGGCGCCTGAAACACTCGCGCAAGCCGCCTACTGGCGCCGCCGCTGGTGCTACAGCCGGCGGCGCCGCTGCTACAGCCGCCAAAGCCGGAACGAAGACGCTGGTGACGCCTGCCGCGACGAGCACGTGCCAAACGTCGACGCTCGCAGGATACACGAGCTCCATGGACCTCTCGGGCAACGGGTGAGAACTTTATTGGAAAGGATAGTATAGAGAAGATCTCGGAGATCTTTCCGACATTCCGTCGTGTTCCATCGCGTTTCGCACTCCCCCTAATGCACGTCGTCCTCTAAGTGACTCAGTAGTTCTATTCTAATACATTTCGCCTGGCGCTCATCCGTCTCTAGTTACCCTTGCGAAACGTCGCCCCTTTTTCGCCATTTCCCCCAGGCTGGTCCTCCACTGGAAGAAGTCAACGGGGTCAACGATCGACCTGGCCCTGGAAGCCAAGTCAACGAGCGGCGCGGCGAGCGGGTGGTTCTCCGTGGCGTGGACCAACGGGGGCATGTTTAACTCGGACGCCGTCATCGGGAACATAGCGACGGGGACCAGCGTCGGCACGTACGCGATATCTAGCTACTCGAGCGTGGTTACCACGTCGCGGTTCGCTATAACCGCCGCGAGTGTTACAAGGTCGGGCGGGAGCACGATCGCGAAGTTCACGCGATCGACGGGCGACGGGACCGTGGCGGTGAACGTGGCGGGGAGCAACAAGCTCGTGTGGGCCTTCTCGTCTGGCGGCTCCAAGACCGTCGCCAACCACGGCGGCAGCCACAGGTGCCTCGTTGTCGCCCCCCCTCCCCCCACCCCCCCCCCCTCGTCGCAAATTGAACCCCGTCCCTCGAGTTGCAATGCTCCAGGCCCCTCTTAGCGCCTCACTCACCTTGTCTCTCTCTCCCCTTCGCCGCTCTGTCGCTATTTCCGTGCCTCCAGAGGCGCAAAGACCATTGACTTCTCTTGTGACGGAACAGCCTCGGGCTCAGGCTCGGGAACCGGCTTGGGAACTGGCTCGGGAACAGGCACGGGAACAAGCTCGGGCACTGGAGCAGGGACGTGCACGGGCAACACGGGCGTGAGCGGCACTGCATGTCCCGCGTCCACTCTCTGCGGCTACTCCTACCAGGCCCAAATCAAATCCGGGTACGCGGATGCAGAGCCCTTTGTCTAGTCACCCACGCCTCCCCAACCCCCCCTCCCAACCACTGCTCACATTGCTCGCCGCTCTGACTGCTAGCGTCTTCTTTTGCCTTGATTTGCCTCTTCCTCGTGTTCTGAGTCCGTCCTCTCCCCTTCCCTCTTCCCCCTTCCCCCTTCTCCCTTCCCTCAGCGTGCTGCTGCATTGGAAGAAGGTGTCGGCCACGCAGTTGGACATGGCTGTCGAGCTCAAGACCAGCAGCGGCGCCAGCAACGGGTGGTTCGCGCTCGGCTGGGCCAACGGGGGCTCCATGGCTCCCTCCGACGCAGTCATCGGCAACAGGGCGGGCGGGATTGTGAGCCCATACCGAATCACAGGCTACACTATGAATTCGTTACAGGGCGCCTCGTTTAGCATTGGCAGTGGTGCGGGGACTGTGAAGTCCGCTACTGGCTCCACCACAGTAATCCAGTAAGTATCGGGCTCTGTGCTGTGCATATGACATGGTCACCTCTATGTCTAGACATGTTTTCTCACATACTTTCCTTGCTTGTTGGTCAACCAGGTTCTCGCGCACAACTGGCACGGGGTCCATTCCCATCAAGATGAGTGGCGTCAGCCATCTCATCTGGGCTCACTCCAACTCCAACTCCAAGACCCTTGCGTTCCACAGCGGTGCAGAGTGAGTGTCCAACGCTGGATCTGATCGCCAGTGTCAAGTCCCCTCTGTATTCCTCTTGCGCTAGTTCTCCCGAAACATCCTCTCAACTCTTGCCTATTCCTTCACTCGTTTCGTCAATGCGCTTTATCCTCCTCTTCCCTCTGCACAATCATATCCCCACTCACTCTTTCACACTGTCTAGATCTCTGTGTAATTCCTGTCCTGCTTTCTCTCCTCCATCTCACAACCCTCTGTTCTCCCTCCTGCCTCTCCCTCCCGCTCTTGTTTCATCGCAGTGGTCGCATGTCTGTGGACTTCTCTTGTGCCATGTCCCCGTCGTCCGTGGACGATGGGGGGTACGATCATGACGGTGATGACCATCATGGGGGGACGATCATTATGGCGACGGTGATGACTGGCAGCGGGGTGGTGGTTCAGGTTCGGGTTCCAGTGGGGCTTTCCTCTCGCAGCTCATCTCTTGGCTCGGCTTGCTCTTTGGCTTCCGCAAGTAGAGGGTGTCAAACATGTGTATTTGTCATGTTTGTATAGACTGTATAGGATCGCCTCTAAGAGAGTACAACACTTAGGTATATCTGTGTGTACTCTCACTCTATCCATCATTCACTTCTCAATTTTGATATGGTATCACGCGTAGGTAGGATCCCCCCCCACCTACCGCTTCCGCTCACCCCTCTAGCCCCTAGCCCCGTCGCGACCCCCCTAGCCCCGTCGCGCCCCATCCTGGGCCCTGTAGCGCCCCTTCTGGGCCCCGTCGCACCCCTCACTGGGCCCCGTCGCGCCCCTCCCAGGCCACGTCGCGCCCCTCCTAGGCCCTGTAGCGCCCCTCCTGGGCCTCGTCGCGCCCCTCCTGGGCTCCGTAGCGCCCCTCCTGGGCCCCGTCGCGCCCCTCCTGGGCCCCGTAGCGCCCCTCCTGGGCCCCGTCGCGCCCTTCCTGGGCCCTGTAGCGCCCCTCCTGGGCCCCGTCGCGCCCCTCCCAGGCCCCGTCGCGCCCCTCCTGGGCTCCGTAGCGACCCTCCTGGGCCCCGTCGCGCCCCTCCTGGGCCCCGTAGCGCCCCTCCTGGGCCCCGTCGCGCCCTCCCTGGGCCCTGTAGCTCCCCTCCTGGGCCCCGTCACGCCCCTCCCAGGCCCCGTCGCGCCCCTCCTAGTCCCCGTAGCGCCCCTCCTGGGCCTTGTCGCGCCCCTCCTGGGCTTCGTAGCGCCCCTCCTGGGCCCCGTCGCGCCCCTCCTGGGCCCCTGTAGCGCCCCTCTTGGGCCCCCGTCGTGCCCCTCCTGGGCCCCGTAGCGCCCCTCCTGGGCCGCGTCGAGCCCCCCCCTCCTGGGCCCCGTCACGCCTTCAGGCCCCGTCGCGCTCGCCCGGCCCCGTCGCCCCAGCCCGGCCCCGTCGCACCAGCCCGGCCCCGTCGCACCAGCCCGGCCCCGTCACGCCCGCCCGGCCCCGTTGCACTCGCCCGGCCCAGTCGCCCCCTGCCCGGCCCCGTTGCAGCCGCCCGGCCCCGTCGCACCCGTCCGGCCCCGTCGCGCCCGCCCAGCCCCGGTGCGCCCCTCCTGGGCCACCGTCCTGCTCGCCCGGCCCCGTCGCACCGGCCCGGCACCGTCGCACCAGCCCGGCCCCGACGCACCCGCCCGGCCCCGTCGCACCAGCCCGGCCCCGTCGCGCCCGCCCGGCCCCGTCGCGCCCGCCCGGCCCCGTTGCACCGGCCCGGCCCCTGCGCTCGTCCCTGCCCCGGCCCCGGTCCTCCTCACTGGTACGGTTCCCCCCCCCCCCCCCCCCCCCCCCCGCCCTGCACTGCCCTGCACCGTACTGCCCCGCACTGCACCGCCCCGCACCACCCTGTACTGCCTGGCACCGCACTGCACCGCCCTACACCGCACTGCACCGCACTGCATCGCACTGTACCGCACGGCACCGCACTCCACCTTGCTGCACTGCCCTGCACCGCACTGCACTGTTCCTGATGGCGGCGGAGCTTCGCTTCGACGCTGAAGGCCAGCCTCTCGAGTTCGAGGCGTGGCTTGCCGACCTCCGTCGCCAACTCACTGGCAAGCGGCAGGATGGTGAACCGCTCTCCGCACACCTTGACGGTACGCTCCCCTGCCCAGGCCCCCTTGCTATTCTGCCCGCTGACTCCACACCCACTGAGCGCGAGTCCACTGCTGCCACTGCCCGTGCGCGCTCTGTCTGGCTTTCTCGCGATGCTGTCGCCCAGCTTGCCATCAGCAACGCCCTTCCCCCGTCCGAGCGCCCTCGCTTTAGGTCTCTCACCACTGCTCAGGCATACTTAGATGCTGTCATCCAGCGCTATTCCACCCCTCCGGCTGCCTCGGTGGGTCGCCTGATCCTCCCGATGCTCTTTCCTGACCTTGCATCTTTCCCCACTGTCTCTGACCTCGCTGCCCACCTGCGCTCGATAGATGAGACCGGGCGTGCAGCCTGCACTGATGCACAGCTTAGAGCCCACCAGCCGCCCATTACCTCTACCCTCTACCTGCTTGCCACCCGCCTCCCTGACCACCTTGCTGTCGCCCGCGACCGCTTCCTTAGCATTCACCCTGCAGACCTCATCCTCACTGACTTTGTAGACACCCTGACTGTGATAGAGACCCGTCACCGCTCCATCGCCCAGGCGAGCGGTGTCGTGCCGGTCCCTATCTTTCAGGGTTGTGCCCCCGCCCAGTGTACCTTCTCCGACGGCTCTGCCGCAGTGGCTGAGACTGATGCTGCAGCGCAGTTTCGTTCGGGGAAGGGCCGCCGCCCCAAGGTTGGGCGCGACGGCGGCGGCGGGGGTGCGGGAGGGGTAGTGGTGGGGTCGGGTCGTCTGGTGCTGGAGCGGACGAGGGGAACCTGCCCAGTCCAGCTGAGCCGCCGCCCCTGCAGTTGCAGCAGCCGCAGCAACCGCCGCAGTCGCAGCCTTCGCAGCAGCCGCAGCAGCCGTCGCAGACGCGGCAGACGAGTGTCCTCCCGCCCGGGTGGCCCGGCGCTGGCGGTGGCCGGGCGCGTGGTGGTGTGCCGAGTGGTGGCTCTGGTGGCGGGCGTTGTCAGTACCAGATCCAGACCGGTCCTCGCCGCGGTTTCATTTGCGGTAGGCTCGGTCACTCCACTCCCCGCTGTTTTCGTCGCCTCGACGATCTCTTTCGTCAGCGCTTCGGCCCGTCGCCAGACCTCCCGGACTGGCACAGTTTGCTTAGTCGTAAGATTCAGATTTTTGAAATGGACATGGATGCCATTGTTGCTGCTCTGCATGTGATGTATGCTGATGACTCTAGTGTGGTTCCCGCTTATTACTCACTGTTGCCTAGTGTAGGTGTGCCTAGCTTAGCCTCCCCTGCTGCGTCAGGCGTAGGATCCCCTGCTTTGTATAGTCTTGGTGCTTCCGCCGTCGTTCCGTTGCCAGACGCCTCTGCTTCGCTTTCCTTCACCTTGGACTCTGGCGCTTCTCGGTGTTTCTTCCGCGACTCTACCACCCTGACGCCGCTTCCTGTCCCAGCTGCCGTTTCTCTTGCTGACCCCTCCGGCGGTCCGGTCGTCGCCCGCAGTTCCACCACCCTTCCCTGTCCGGCGGTTCCTTCGGGCTCTCTCACAGGTCTGCATATCCCCTCGTTCTCCAGGAACCTAGTTGGTGTCGGCTGCCTCCAGGACCTTGGCGTCACCACTACGTTCCCTGGTCACGAGCGGTATGCTGTCTGTACCGAGGCCGCCACTGGTGCCCCCCTTTCTACGTTCCCCCGGGACCCGTTGTCCGGCCTGTTCACTCTGGACACCGTGACCCCCCCGGCTGGGGCGCCTCCTCAGGTGGCTGCGTCTACCCAGGTTGCTGCTGCCTGCTCCTGTCGGTCCCTCACTCACCCGACTCTCCTTTGGCACCACCGCCTAGGTCACCCTGCGCTCCCGCGTCTGCGTCACATGTCCCAGCACGGTCTTGTCCTTGGTCTCCCAGGTTCCCTCCCCGCGTTTCCCTCCTCCCCAGCCCCACCTTGCACGCCTTGTGTTGAGGGTCGGCTTCGCCGTGCCCCGCACTCCTCCTCGTTTCCCCCTACCGCCGCGCCGCTGCAGACCCTGCACCTGGACGTCTGGGGCCCCGCCCCCGTCCCTGGGCCGCGTCGAGAGCGCTACTTCCTTGTGCTTGTCGACAACTTCACTCGTTACACCACAGTCTTTCCCCTGGAGCGCAAGGCCGACGTGCCTGGCGCTCTCATTCCCTGGCTTGTCTCTGCGCGTGTCCACCGCGGTCTCCCTGTCTTGCGTCTTCACTCCGACCGTGGTGGCGAGTTTGCCTCAGGTGTCCTTGGTCGCTTTTGTCGTGCGGAGGGCATCACCCAGACGTTCACCCTACCGGACTCCCCACAGCAGAATGGGGTCGCTGAGCGACGCATCGGTTTGGTCATGGAGGTGGCTCGCACCTCCATGATCCATGCTGGTGCACCCCATTTTCTGTGGCCGTTCGCTGTGCACTACGCTTCTCACCAGCTTAACTTGTGGCCGCACCCTCAGCAGCCGCAGGTTTCGCCGACTCGTCTTTGGACTGGGTCTCCTGGTGACGCGTCTGCGTTCCACGTCTGGGGCTGCCTTGCTCACGTCCGTGCCTCCGGCACAGACAAGCTCACTGCCCGCACCCTTCCCTGCTCACTGCTCACTGCTCGCCTTGTGTTGAGGGTCGGCTTTGCCGTCGCCTCCTCCGTCCTCCCTTGTTGTTGCACCCCCCCCGCTGTCTGACTACCTTCGTGCCGCTCGTCCCCTTGTTCCTCGGGTCCTTGCCTCTCTCGTTACCGACCCGTCTGTTCCGACCTTGTGCCTTGACGCTCTTGTCGCTGCTGTCGCTGACTTCGCCTCTACCCGTCGCCTTGACTACGCCTCCGCTCTGGTCTCTGACCCTGCCTGTCCTCCGTCTGTCGGGGGTGCTCCTGCCCTTGGCAGTGGCGTCCTGGAGGACCGCCAGTTCGAGCTTGCTTTCCTCTCCGAGGCTGCTCCCCATCTCTGTTCCATGCTGCTAGTCCCTGAGGGTGACCCAGATGCTTTCGACATCCCGACCCCTCGCACTTACGCTGAGGCGACTTCGGGACCCTGGGCCTCGCAGTGGATAGCTGCCATGGAGCAGGAGATGGCATCTTGGAGATCCACCGGCACCTTCGTCGACGCAGTTCCCCCACCTGGGGTGAACGTAGTCGATGGCCGCTGGCTCTTCAAGGTGAAGCGCCCTCCTGGAGAGCCGCCTGTCTTCAAGGCGCGCTATGTGGCTAGAGGCTTCAGTCAGCGCGAGGGGGTGGACTTCTTCCAGACCTTCGCTCCGACCCCGAAGATGACTACTCTTCGGGTTCTGTTACACCTAGCTGCTCAGCGTGACTACGAGCTTCACTCCCTCGACTTCTCCACTGCCTTCCTTCAGGGCAGCCTACACGAGCAGGTCTACCTGCGGCGCCCTCAGGGCTTCACTGGCACCTTCCCTCCTGGGACCCAGTGGCTCCTGCGGCGCCCCGTCTACGGCCTGCGCCAGGCTCCCCGTGAGTGGCACGACACTCTCCGTGCTACGCTTGCTGACCTGCAGTTCTTTCCGTCTTCCGCAGACCCTTCACTCTTCGTTCGTGCTGGCCAGACTCCGTTCTACATCCTTGTTTACGTCGACGACCTGGTCTTTGCCACGGCAGACAGGGACGCACTGGCCTCCGTGAAGGCAGAGCTGCTGAAGAGACACACCTGCACTGACCTTGGAGAACTGCGCCGTTACCTTGGCTTGCAGATCTCCAGGGACAGAGCTGCGCGCACCATCACCCTGACTCAGTCACACTTGGTGCGCCAGGTCCTTCAGAGGTTCAGCCTTCAGTTCTCCTCTGCACAGCCCACCCCTCTGCCTGTAGACCACAGACTCTCCGCTCCAGTGTCTGAGGAGGTGGTAGAGCCCAGTAGCCCCTACGCAGAGCTGGTGGGTTGCCTCATGTACCTGATGACTTGCACTCGCCCAGATCTCGCATACCCTCTCAGCATCCTGGCGCGCTTTGTGGCCACAGGCAGACACCGACCGCAGCACTGGTCTGCCGCTAAGAGGGTTCTGCGTTATCTTGCTAGTACATCGGGCATGGGGTTTGTGCTTGGAGGACGCAGGCCAGTGGTCCTTACTGGACACACAGACGCTTCGTGGGCAGACGACGCTGAGACACTCAGGTCTACCCAGGGCTACTGCTTCAGCCTTGGCTCAGGTGCCGTCTCGTGGAGAGCTACCCGCTCCTCGTCTGTTGCGCAGTCCAGCTGTGAGGCTGAGATCTACGCTGGTGCCATGGCGGCACAGGAGCTCCGCTGGCTGACCTTCTTGCTCACTGACTTAGGTGAGCGGCCTAGCTCTGCCCCGGTCCTGTTCGCTGACAACAGGGCCATGATCCTCCTGTGTCAGGAGCCTCGACTCGAGGGCAGAGCAAAGCACATTCAGCTGCGGTACTTCCTCCTGCGTGAGCTACAGCAGCGACGTCAGGCTCGCGTAGTACTCTTGGCCTCAGGTGCCAACACGGCTGATATCTTTACGAAGGCGCTTGCGCCTAAAGATCATCAGCGGCACTGTGTACAGCTTGGTCTAGTTCCTGTAGCCTCTCACTTGCTAGGACCTTGACTTTGTACTGTCCTTTATACGTATACTCAGACTGGACTTGTGTCCTCTCCCAATGGCTGGACTAGTACTGCCGCCCTGCTCTTGTTCTTGCCTTGTTTGTACTCCTTCTGACTGGTCTCTCAGACCCTTGTCTCAGAGGTTGGACTATATGCGCCCTGACTGTTTGTTTAGGGCATTCCCCTATGCAGTCTAGGGGGTGTGTCAAACATGTGTATTTGTCATGTTTGTATAGACTGTATAGGTCGCCTCTTAGAGAGTACAACACTTAGGTATATCTGTGTGTACTCTCACTCTATCCATCACACTTCTCAATTTTGATAGAGGGTAGGCGTACGCTGCACACTGCACACCACACAATGCATGCTGAACATTGTGCAGGGTGGAGAGGTTGTGGCGGTGGTGGTGGCGGTGGTGGCGGTGGTGGTGGTGGTGGTGGTGGTGGTGGTGGTGGTGGTGGTGTGGTGGTGGTGTGGTGGTGGTGGTGGTGGTGTTGGTGGTGGTGGTGGTGTGTGGTGGTGGTGGTGGTGGTGGTGGTGGTGTGGTGGTGGTGTGGTGGTGGTGGTGGTGTGGTGGTGGTGGTGTGGTGGGGTGGTGGTGGTGGGTGGTGGTGGTGGTGGAGAGGTTGTGGTTGTGGTGGTGGTGGTGAGAGAGGGTTGGTGTTGATGGGAGTGATGTGAGGACATGTCGGCCAGACCACATGCATCGTTTGGAGTTGTGAAGGGCTGCACTGCACAGCCTAAAAGATGGTTGTGATGCAATTAGCTGCTTGTCATAAACTAATATATCAATTAGAATATATATATATATATATATATATTTGTTTGTTTTGGTATGTGTGCTATACCTAAATGTTAGAGCAGAGAGAACAAGGATAACGGGGGTTAGTAGAGCAGAATATGGGCTGTAATATAGCTATAGCTTATAACAAGCAAATAATGAGCTAATACATAATAACGATGCAATCATTTGTCCAATCATATCCTTTCCTTGCAAATAAGCTTAGCAGCTAATGACCTAATTTCCCCTTCTTTCTCGGAAGTACTCGTGGCGTCGTGGATCTAGGGTAGGTCGGCGCCGCTGGGAAGAGGGGATCGGGTTGGGGAGGCCGAGAGCGGCATCCGCCCACGAGCGGAAAATCGCCCCCGCTGGGCTCGGCGCGCTCGCCTGCGCTCCCTGCGGGACTCCTTGGCCGCGCGCTCGGCTGGGTCAAACCCGCGTCACTACCCTGGTTCACGTTGGCGCCGGGAATGTTCGCCACGTTATCGCCAGGTCGCATAAGGATGGTGGGTGCGGTGTTGCAGACGAAGTCAACCATGGCGAGACCCTGTGAACAACAAAGACACTCCGCCATTACGGTCAACATGGCGAACATTTGAAATGAGGTCGCAAACGAACGGGATCACTATGTCGCACCTGTTGTAATCGTGGTAGCCGAACGACTGGAGCATTCCGCGGGAGAAAGCCCAGATGACGTATGTCTCGCCGCTCAGGTTGATTGGAACAGTGCCACCATCGCCATTGCGCCGAGAGAACCTGGTGGAGCAAGAGAAACCAAGCACACGCGGAAGCGATGAGCAGTCGCGTTTACGCGAATTTTCGAGCGGGCGGTAGACACCGCCAGGTTATCGGGCAACGGATAGCTGCACTACCAATTACAAATGGTTGGAAGGACCTACTTCACGACGGTGGATCCAGTCGCCGAGGTGGTAACGGACGGGTTGGCCCCCAGCGAAAACGTATCGTTGACGAGCTCCGCGAATTTGTAACCATCGAGCCTGTACGCCTTGATACCGGGCATGTTACCAACGACGGCATCAGCGGGAGCCATGGCGCCGTTGTTCGACCAGCGACGGAGATCCAGCTGTTCTCCGCGCCGCTGAGGCGCTTCGCCTCGAGAGCCATCTGGAAGACGGGGCCGGGGAGGACCTTCCAGTGGAGCAGAATCCTGCCAAGGAACCAGATGAGAGAGCACATCAGATGGAAGTGAGACGGAAAGAAAGCAATTGCAATTGACGACACGAAACAACTCGCGAGCTGGTTTACGATGCTGAAAAGTATGGCAAGTGTGGCAATGGAAAGGACGGCGGAGGCACTTACTTTCCGTCGTAGAGGTCCGCCTGGTGGTCGTACTGGCCGAGCGTCGACACCGGGCACGACGACCCCACCGTCACCTGCGTCGTGCCCTGGGCCGGAACAGGCGTCGTGGGCTGCGTCGCAACGCCGCCACCGCCGCCGTTGCAGGAGAAGTCCACTTGGAAAGAGCCGCTGCATGAGAAATAACAAGGGTGAAGAGAAAACGGGATCAGTCTCGGAGGCCCGTGGCTCGTTGAGGAGCGTTAAGCGCAAAGGGGAAGGCGCGCGGATGAGATGGCGCAAACTACCGCCTGCGAGGGAAGGAGAGCGGAAGGGCGAGGGCGGGAAGGCGAGCGTACCGTCTCTTGTCGCCGTGGTACGCGAGGGGCTGGGTGTTATCGAGGGAGAAAGCCCAGATGACTGTGGTGGGCGCCGTAGTGGAGATGGGCGCCACGCCGTCCGTGATGGACCGATGGAACCTGAAAGCGTCAAGGAGACGGAAAACGTCAGTGAACAAGCCGGTCTCATCAGACACCCAGACGGTGGACGGTGGATCGAAGATGGCGGGAGCCAGCAATGCAGGGCTGACGTCACAAGCTGGAGTCATGGCATTGAAAACTTTGCAGGATGGAATGGACTTATCTCATAGTAAGCGGAGGCAACTTACATCATTATGAGGCTTCCATTGGTCTTCGACACCAGGCTAGCATCGCCGATCCACAGGTTCTTGTTCACAGTAATCGACGCCGCATCGTAGCCGCTCATCGAGTACGCCGCCACGGGGGAGTCGGCAGGTTACCGACGATGGCATCAGCTGGAGACATCTTGCCGTCCTGGAAAATCCAACGGACACCCATCCCGCCGCCGCGCCGCTGCCGTGCCGCGCTTCAAGCGCGATCTTCACGACCGTTGGGGAAACGATGGCCCAGTGCAGCACGTGGCCGAACTTGGTGATTTGGTACGAGGACGTGTAACCGTCCAGGTCGGACGGGTCGCAGGTGGACGAGTCCGCCACGCCGGACTCGTTGGTGGTGGGGTGGGTGTATCAGGGAAAGTCGGAGTCACCTGTTGGCCTGGTTGGGTACCGCAGTGCCGGTATACTCGCTAGAGACAGTCGCGCTTGTCTGCTGCATGCCAGTCTTGGAGTCGTCGCCCGCGAGGGGGTCCCGTCCTCCCAGAGGTCGTTGGGGTCGAACGACGGCCCGAACCTGCGAGTGACGGGGTCGAGCTGCCGTACGGATTGTCAGTGAACGCGTCCTGAGCGGACGACACCGGATTGGTGGCGGTGACCGGAGTGGGAGTCGAGATGGGGTTCGCGGGAGCCACAGGCTCGGGAGTCACAGGCTCGGCACAGGCTCAGCAACTGGCGTGGGTCCTTGGGCCGGGGGGTGATGACCGCGGCGGGAGTGACGGTGTCGTACTTGCCGAGAAACTCGGTGTTGGAGCCTGCGGAGCCCGCGAGGTCATCGCGGCCTTCATTTCCGCGGCATGCGCGAGAGGAGCGCGGAAGCGAGGAGGAGGAGAGAGAAAACGCCCATGGTGCGGCACGGGCGAGCCATGGCTGGAGGCAGGCTCTGGCGATGCAAAATGGAAGCTCGGGAGAGAGAGTTGCGATGGTCGCTCTAGCAGGCAAATGTTCACGCGTTTGATGGTCGGATGACTTGCTAATTTCATATGTTCTGAACTTCTAGCCTGGCCTATTTCATGAGCCGGCTCCAAGCCTTGAGAAGTCCTTGGGCGACCTGAGGCAGATCAAGAAGCCTCGCACGTGAGGAACGCGACACGTAACCGACAAAAAGGGTCCAAATGCATTCGGACACATCAATCAAAAGTTAGTGGTGAGGCGCCCACCTGGACTCTGAAGTCGGACATTATCCTACCACTAGCACGCGAGCGCCTGCACGAACCAATGGTCTGTCTTGCTAAGGCCCAACAAATCGCGCAATAGATATTCGTGCCAGGGCTCTCCAATCTGAGAAACCATCATGCACTGGGCCGACAGCTTTTCGTGGGGGCTAGATGGCATCGCGGCTCGAACCATGGCAACTCCGACATTGTGTGATTCATTGCATGTCGGAGCGCACGTAGCTCGCCAACCTGAGCTCAATGTCATGTCCGTGAAAATGACCAATCAACAGCGAGGCCGAGCCAGGCTGCGCAAAGGCCCCATTGACACGTCCGCAAGACCACCACATTCCACGGAGAGAGCCAGTACACTTCAAAAATTGCAGAACATCAGGAATAGACCAGCATCCATAAAATCTGTATATAGGTTGCCATACTCTAATTATAATCTCTTATTACCAACATCCATAAAATCTGTATGTATGTTGACACGTCCGCAAGCACACCACTCTTAGAACTGAATAATCGAGTAACTAGAGAACTTGGGTACAAGGATATATGTCTAAGGGTTGTACTCTCTAAGAGGTGACCCTATACAGTCTATACAAACATTAGAGATACAAATGTTTGACACACCCCCTAGACCGCATAGGGGCAGTTCCTGAACAAGCAGCTCAGGGCGGCACTACTAGTCCAGCCACTGAGACAACGGTCTAAAGACCAGTCAAAAGGAGTACAGGCAAGGCAAGAACAAGACCAAGCTGGCACTACTAGTCCAGCCACCGGGAGAGGACACAAGTCCAGTCTGAGTACATATATATATAAAGGACAGTACAAAGTCAAGGCCCTAGCAAGTGAGAGGCTACAGGAACTAGACCGAGCTGTACACAGTGCCGCTGATGATCTTTAGGCGCAAGCGCATTTGTAAAGATATCAGCTGTGTTGGCACCTGAGGCCAAGTGTACTACGCGAGCCTGGCGGCGCTGCTGTAGCTCGTGCAGGAGGAAGTACCGCAGCTGGATATGCTTCGCTCTGCCCTCGAGTCGAGGCTCCTGACACAGGAGGATCATGGCCCTGTTGTCAGCATACAGGACCGGGGCAGAGCTAGGCCGCTCACCTAAGTCAGTGAGCAAGAAGGTCAGCCAGCGGAGCTCCTGTGCCGCCATAGCACCAACGTAGATCTCGGCCTCACAGATGGACTGGGCAACAGACGAGGAGCGGGTAGCTCTCCACGAAATGACACCTGAACCAAGGCTGAAGCAGTAGCGCTGGGAAGACCTGAAGGTCTAGGCGTCGTCTGCCCAAGAAGCGTCTGAGTGTCCAGTAAGGACCACTGGCCTGCGTCCTCCTAACACTAACCCCATGCCCAATGTACTTGCGAGATAACGCAAAACCCTCTTAGCGGCAGACCAGTGCTGCGGTCGGTGTCTGCCTGTGGCCACAAAGCGAGCCAGAATGCTGAGAGGGTATGCGAGATCTGGGCGAGTGCAAGTCATCAGGTACAAGAGGCAACCCAACAGCACTGCATAAGGACCACTGGGCTCTACTGACTCCTCAGGAACTGGAGCGGAGAGTCTGTGGTCTACAGGCAGAGGGGTGGGCTGTGTAGAGGAGAACTAAAGGCCGAACCTCTGAAGGACCTGGCGCACCAAGTGTGACTGAGTCAAAGTGATGGTGCGCGCAGCTCTGTCCCTGGATATCTGCAAACCAAGGTAACGGCGCAGTTCTCCAAGGTCAGTGCAAGTGTGTCTCTTCAGCAGCTCTGCCTTCACCGAGGCCAGTGCGTCCCTGTCTGCTGTGGCAAAGACCAGATCATCCACGTAAACGAGGATGTAGAACGGAGTCTGGCCAGCACGAACGAAGGGCGAGGGGTCTGCAGAGGACGGAAAGAACTGCAGGTCAGCAAGGGTAGCACGCAGCGTGTCGTGCCACTCACGGGGAGCCTGCCGCAGGCCGTAGACTGGGCGCCGCAGGAGCCACTGGGTCCCAGGAGGAAAGGTGCCAGTGAAACCCTGAGGGCGACGCAAGTAGACGTGCTCGTGTAGGCTGCCCTGAAGAAACGCAGTGGAGAAGTCGAGGGAGTGAAGCTCGTAGTCACGCTGAGCAGCTACGTGTAGCAGCACTCGAAGAGTAGTCATCTTCGGGTCGGAGCGAAAGTCTGAAAGAAGTCCACCCCTTCATGCTGACTGAAACCTCTAGCCGCATAGCACGCCTTGAACACAGGCGGCTCTCCAGGAGGGCGCTTCACCTTGAAGAGCCAGCGGCCATCGACTACGTTCACCCCAGGTGGGGGAACTGCGTCGAGGTAGGTGCCGGTGGATCTCCAAGATGCCATCTCCTGCTCCATGGCAGCTATCCACTGAGAGGCCCAGGGTCCCGAGACCGCCTCAGCGTAAGTGCGAGGGGTCGGGATGTCGAAATCGTCGGGGTCACCCTCAGGGACTAGGAGCATAGAGCAGAGATGGGGAGCAGCCTCGGACAGGAAAGCAAGCTCCTACTGGCGGTCCTCTAGGACGTCATTGCCGAGGGCAGGAGCACCCCCGACAGACGGAGGACAGGCAGGGTCAGAGACCAGAGCGGTGGCGTAGTCAAGGCGGCGGGTAGAGGCGAAGTCAGCGACAAGAGCGTCAAGACACGAGACCGGAACGGACGGGTCGGTAACGAGAGAGGCGAGGACCTGAGGAACAAGAGGACAAGCGGCACGAAGGTAGTCTGACAGAGGAGGAGGCGCAACGGTAAGAGAGGACGGAGGAGGCGACGGTAGAAGGAAAGGACGAGACGCGTGGGAACGGAGCAACATAGGGTGAGAGCGCGGGACAGGGGAGACAGGACGAGCGCGGGAGGGACGGCGAGACCAGACGTGAGACGGAGGCGTCGGGTCAGGAGACAGGGGAGGGGACACAAGGGGGGAGCGAGGGGGAAGACGAGCCGGGGACGAGTCCGGCGAAGGGAACACAGGGCCGTAGACAGGAAGAGGAGGAGACGGCAGGAGAGGAATAGACGAAGGGTCAGGGGACGGAAGGCCGAGCAGGCGAAGAGCTGACACCGGCGGGGACTGCTACTGCGGCGGCACAACAGCGACACCGGGACCGCAAGCTGCTCCTCGGCTACCTCCGGGACGCTCCACTCCGGCACCCCCAGAAGGAACACCCCCAGAGCCTTAAACCCCTGGAGCACTGGCACCACCCCAAGGGCCATCGGGACAGGCCACGACAGGAACCCCAGAACTAGCACCCACCCCAACGCGAGCACCCCCAGAGTCGACGAACTGCTGCTGCGACGGCGGCGGCGGCGGCGGCGGGAACGACGGGTGCGGCGGCGGGGACGACGGCTGCGACAGCAGAGGCGGTGGAGGAGGAGACACCAAGGGAGGGGCAGACGGCGAGGACTGCGCCGCAGGACCACCAGAGTCATAAGACTCCTCGACCGGGACAACCGACGGGAGAGGGGTGACGTGGGACACACCAGAGGGGGCAGGACGGGGAGGGGAAGGGGGGGGCAGGGACCACCGGGGAAGGAGTGACCAGGAACAGGGGGGGAGTAACAAGGGAACGCAGTGGGGAAAGCGACGGTAAAAGGAGACGGACTCGTCAAAGGTGACGTCGCGAGAGTGAAAGAACCGGTGAGACGGCGGTGGTAGAAGTGCCAGTCGGACGCGTCAAGGGGGAAACCGAGGAAAACACAGGGAAGGGTGCGGGCAGTGAGCTTGTCCGTGCCAGAGGCACGAACGTGAGCAAGGCAGCCCCAAACGTGGAACGCAGACGCGTCACCAGGAGACCCGGTCCAAAGAAGGGTCGGCGAAACCTGCGGACGCTGGGGGTGCGGCCACAGGTTAAGCTGGTGAGCAGCGTAGCGCACGACGAACGGCCACAGAAAAAGGGGTGTGTGAGAGTACGACCCCGTTACACCAATTTCCCCTTTCCATATTTCCTTTCTATTTCATTCCTCTTTTTATCCTCATTCATTTGGTCTTTATCTCATCTCATTTGGTTTCCTATTCCTCATTTTCCATTATCCTTTGGTTTATCCTGTTATTATAATTATATCACCGACCAGGCTCGGGATGTACTGGCGCGCTATATCTAGCGTAATCCTGCCGTAATCCCTTAAAGCCAATAGCCTCGCTTGGCTATACGCATGGTGATTCTATTTCTAGAAGGGTCTATTCCCTTTGGATAGGATAAACCTGGTTACCTGATGTACTCTGGAAGTATAAAAGCACCTTGTACTGAATGATAGTGCAACATTGAGCAAACCTTTCCTCGGGACATTCGATCATGTGACACTTGGTAATCAGAGCCAAGGGTTCAGCTCAACGCTTAACCGCTGGGCCCCCAGGAGCACGCGGAGGATGGAGTCGAAACTTCGTTTCCTGTAAGTACAATGCACTTTCATTTAAGTTTCGACTAACCTCTCGCAGTTGCACCTGGGGTCCCCTTCGAAGGCGAGATGCCTCGCCAACCGTTCGATGGACTGTATCGACGGTGCCGATTTTTCGCGGGGGCAAACGGCCTCGACCTGGCGAGCGTGTCAGTTCCGGCGGAACACTCCCTGCGACATTCGGAGAAGTTCGCAGTTCGCGACAACACTTGGAGTTGCGCGGAACTCTGCGGAGGTTCGACCAACGACATCCGTCCGATGGAGATTCGACGCTTCAGATCGACCGAGGCGAAAACGAAATCCTTCTGAGCGAGTTTGCGTTTCGGCGCGAATGGGAACGGGACCTCGCAAGCCGCGAAATTCTTCGGAGCGTTGGATCGATCGACAGCCGACATCGACGACCGAGAATTGCTGCAGGAAACGAGTCAACCCGTGCACCGAAA